CTAGGAAGCTGAAAATTTAGGGTAACGTTCCCCACCCACGTGTGACCCTGCAAATTTAAATTCAGCATCCCCGTACCCGCGGGTAACAAGTACGGCCCCGTAAAATTTTGGGCGGGTATAATTATTATCATGGTAACCACGGAAGCTGGAGGGCTGGAATTTTGTGGACATGTCCCCTACCCACTCGCGACCCAGAAAATTTGAATTCAACTTCCCCTTGCGCGCGGGTACCACCTACGGCCCCGTGAAAGTTTTGGCGGGTAAATTATTATCTCGGGAACCGCGGAATCTACGAAGCTGAAATTTTAGGGTAATGGCCCCTTGCCCATGCTCGGCCTTGCCTATTCAAATTCAACGTTCCCGCGTTCTCGAATATCACCTACGGCCTCATGAAAATTTTTGCGGGTAAATTATTATCTCAGGAACCGCGGAATTTATGAAGCTGAAATTTTATGGGTATGTTCCTTGCTCATGCGTGACCTAGAAAATCAAAATTCAGCCTTCCCATGCCCACGGGTAACATATACGACCCCGTGAAAGTTTCGGCGGGTAAATTATTATTTCGGGAACCGCGATATTCAGGAAGCTAAAATTTTGTAGTAATGATCCCCCTAACTACGTACGATCTCGCAAATTCAAATTCAGTATTCCCACGCTTTCGGGTACCACAAGGGCCAGGAAGCTGAAATTTTATGGTAATGTCTTCTGTCCACACACAGTCCTGCAATTTTAAATTCAGCTTTCCGCGCGTCCGAGTATCACGCTCCGTGGAAGTTTCGGCGGAGAAATCATTATCTTGGGGACCGCGGAAGTTGAGAATCTGAAATTTTAAGGTGATCTCCTTTAGAAACGTGTGACCTCGCAAATTTGAACTCAGTCTTCACGCACCCCTGATTACCACGTACAGCCTCGTGAAAGTTTTGATGAAGAAATTATTATCTCGTGTGCGTGAAATTTTTAGCGGAAAATTCCGCAACTTAAGACCAGACAACATTTTAACTATTTTCGCACAGACCAAAGTGCAAAGCAGTGCGAATCATTAGCAGGCAATCGTTCGGTGGACGGAATTGCACAATACGCATGATAGCACCTGCTGCCCTGGTGCGCGCCGCTACTTACTATGCGTTTTTACTGTGCAGCGCTATAGTGCTGCTACAGCGAACAAAAACGGATTTTGCCGAGAGGTCGCCTGTGTGTTTGTGTTCGGAAGCGAGTCAACGTTGTGACCCACTTTCAACTCTACAACCAGGAAAGCTGGGAGGCTGAAATTTTGGGGACATATTTCTACCCTATGTGTCACCTCTCCGTTTCAAAAACTTCGCTGGTACGCACCTAGACTCCGCGTACGGACCCTCCAAAAATATGCATATTTCTTTGGCGAGAAAAGATTTCGCGAACCGGACAAGGTAGGAAGCTGAGACTTTACAGGGATATTCTCTATGCATGTGCGAGCCACGGACTTCAAATCCAGCTATTGCACACGCTTATATCGCGCGTACGTCCACGCCAAAGTTCGTATTTGGTACCGTGCTAGCTCGAAAACTAGCTGGGAAACAACAGCTGAAATTTTTTCAGAGAATTTATCATTCATATAGAAAATCGTATACCTAAGCTGAGTTCCGATTTGCACCCGCGCCATAGCTTAGGGCACTTTAAAGATTTTGTAGCGAATTGGGTATTTCGCTTACTAGGCAAGCTGAAAAGCGGAAACTTAGTAGGAATATTCTATATCCACGTATGGCCTTAAATCAGCTTGAAAGTAAAATTCCCCGCGCCCAGACATAACAAATACTTAATTTTACCACAAACTCAAAAGCGAGTGCGTTTTTAGATTTCATAGTCCTGTACGGACTTCCCTCAAATTTGCATGTTTCCAATAAGTGATCATTCACCGAAAAAACGATTGGGCTTCATGCAAAAATTAATCATGCACCTGAAAGTCATAACGCAACACATTCACCTCAATCGACGCCCTTTCCCGCTGCATGCCGGAAGAGGCCAAAACACATTCAGTATGAGTCCAGGTGTTAGGCTGCAGTGCAGGAATCATCAAGTTTGGTGCAAAAACGCATGATTGCACCGGTAAGCCTGGTGCGTTCCAGTCTGGATTTTGTTAGAGTGTCAACGGAGGACAAAGTGAAAAGCCTATGTGCCAGTGGTTAGCTTCTCATTTAATTTTGTGTTTTTAAATGTCGTTGTGAACGAAGACATCGTTAGACAGGAGGCAGTTGCACCAATAAGCGAGGAATAATGAATGCCGACTTTAAATGTGTCGTCTTAATTCCAATTGGTATACAGAATTTTGTTACATGATATTAACTAAGCATGCCACTAGGGCGATTAGATCATCAAAGGTGATTTATTCCATGCTTCTTTTCACCCTTCTAATTATTTATTTTCAGCTGCACCAGTTTCAGGGTCCTCGAGTGCCAACGCATCAAATTCTGCTCGAAGGACATATCAGCGCGTCGTAAAGCCACAGCCGCCGTTATCTACCAGTCGGAGTAAGGGACGAAATAATGGGTCGGCTGGAAATACAGTACGAAATAACATGATTGAGCTCGGAGATGTACAGACACTGCCTGAGGATGTAACGAAAAGTATGACGAGCACTGCAAGAGGTTCAGCGCTTTCATCCAGAAATGTTACGAAGAATGCTAGAAATAATTCGTCGGATTTGGATCTTCCGTCCAGCAAGGCAGTGAAAAGTGCTGCGACTAATCCAGTGGGTTCGTCAACGGGAAGATCAGTGATAAACTGCAAGAATCAGTCGGTGCGTCCAATAATTCGTGTTGGGGCGGTAACGAGCAGTATCGTGAACAAACCAGCAGGCTCGACAGTTTCATCCAGAAGAGTAACAGAAAGCACCACACCCAGTCCTGTGGCTCTGTCAGCTTCAACAGAAAGTTCAGTGAACTCCAAGAATAAGCCAGTGCAACCGATAATTCGTGTCGGGGCGATGGAGAACAGTGTCATAAACAAATCAGCAGCTCCATCCGGAAGGGTAGCAGGAAGTACCACAGCTAATCCGATGGGCTCATCAGTTTCAGCACAAAGATCGGTAAGCTCCACGAATAGGCCGGTGATTCGCGTCGCTTCCGTGAATAATCCAGTAGGATCGTCAGCTTCTTCGAAGGGAGTTGTGGAGAAGAGCACCACCGAAAATCGGCGCAGTTCGTCGGTTTCATGCAAGCGAGTGGTGGAGAGCGGCACGACTAATCCAGTGGGTTCGGCAGTTTCATCAGGCAGGTCAGTGAAGAACTCCACGAGTAAGCCGGCGAGCTCGATAACTTGTGTCGGGACAGCAGCAAAAAATGCGACGAACAGCCCAGTAGGTTCGGCAGCTGCATCCAAGAGAGCTACAGCTAAGCCTGCCAATTCAGTGGTCTCAGCCGGAAGAGTAACGGAAAATGTTAGGACCAGTCAAGTGGATTCGGCAGCTTCATTCGAGAGAGTAAGGGAAGAGAGTGTAGACAGTCCAGCGCGTTTGGCGCTTTCTGCGGGAAGTTCGGCAGTTCCAGCTGGAAGAGTAACAAGAAGCATTGCCAACAATCCAGCGGACGCGACGGTTTTGTCGGGAAGAGTAATGGAAAACGCAGCAAAAAGTGCAGCAAATGTGTCGGCCTCCTCCCAACGAACAACCAGGCGCACCTCAAATGAGCCGGCGCATTTGCCCGCTTCGTCTGAGAGGGGCAGAAATCGAAGTGTTCTTCAGGACGCCAGTTCGCAGGAAGCGGACGCTGCAGGTTTCCTGTATTTCACTGTTTTGTAGTAAAATGTGAGGTTGCGATGAAGTGAGAGCTTTCACGGCGTGTTCAGTGACTGTGTTGCACTTGTGTACATGCAGTGTTCTTGTTCCACTGTGGCCAGCGAAAGTTGTTCATCCCCGGTGCAGTCGTATTGGCGCGTCTGTGATAGTCATTCTTTCTCGTCATATTCCTTCTCGTTTTCGGTGCAGGTTGTGACAGCTTCTCTGTTCTGTTCGGCTCTGAGCCCGTCGTATTCGCGTAACTGCTGTAAACGGCAAGTGGATCATTCTGCTGTGGTTATTGCACTGTTTTTTTAACACTGCATCGTACAGTATGCTTCGACCACTTGTTTTTCACGCTTGCCACGTGACTAGTCCAGCTTTTGTTCCTAACTGACATCAGCATTTATCCCCATGCCGGATTGGAACGGCTAAATTTCATAAGCAGTGTACTCTGTTTGCTTTTTCTTCCCAGGGTTGGGAACTGCCGATTTTTTGTTTAAAAAAAGTTTGCAGTTCTTTCGACTTAGATTTTTTACAGGTGCAGCAGGTCGTCCACACACAGGCAGCACGCAGGATTGCAATGGCACTGTTGCAGTGCTTAAGCGAAAAACTTGTGAAAATGAAGTTAGTAAGGCCAAGAAGCCACGAAATGGCGGCGGCAGAATCGACATAATTGTTCTCAGTGATGATGAGGATAACGGCGGTAGTGTGGGAACGGATGTCGGGAACAAAGATATGACTGCGGTTGTCAACAACGACGATCTAATTACTTCTATTGAAGATGCGGGCATACCTGCTCATGAACTCATTATGGCTGCCGAAAAAGAGATACTTCTGGTATGTTTCTGTAAATATAATCTCTCAGGTCTATTTGAAATGGCTGCATGGTATATGGAAGTTACGATTTATCGTCTGTCTGAGGCATTCCAAAATGTCTGTGTATGCGCATGCTTGTATTTGTGTATTTTTATGGTGTGCGTGCGTATGTGTTCGATTTGTCTGGGGGCTTTAAACTCAAGAACCAGAAAAAGCTAGAAATATGAAATTTTAGGGTAGTGTCCGCTGCACATACGCAAAACCCCGCAAATTTTAAATTTTTCTTCCACGTGCGTTCAAGTTTGACATGTGAGAATTCAGACGGGAACTGCTAGCATTCTTCTAGCTATGGAACCAGAAGTGGTAGTTTTTCCTGTCAATACGCATCTCGGAAATTTATTTTCAATCATACATTACTGCATCCGCCTGTGGGCATCTGAAAGTCCAGAGCTGAAATTTTATGACATTTTATGTCAGTAAGCGACCCTGAAAACTTAATTCGCCTGTATCCACCTGCATCTCACGTACGGGTGCGATTCTTGAAGGGAAATTTTTTAGCTCGATAACCAGACAACATTTCGATCCTTTTTGTACGCATCATTAACAGCAGGCATCTGCTGGATAGAACCGCACAAAGCACACGATTGTACGGACCACCCTGGTGGACGCTACTATTTATTTACACTTTTGATGTAAGATTCAAGTTGTCGTTGTATACCGCAAGTGACGTGGGAGATTTTAGGGTAATTGTTACAGTTTGTTGTCACTGTTGTGTTTTGTGGTCTTCCGTCTCCTTTTAACACACTGCATAACACTTTACAATTAGCTACGATGAGCGCTGCTCATCTCGTTAACTTTCATTTTCGACCTATTTCGTGAGTTTTTGCCGTGCATCTCTTGAGCGCTGCAGCAAGCAACAAAAACGCATATTCTGACGAGCCTTTCTACGTTTATATGTGTGTGTCGTCTGTCCGAACATTTCTACTCAGCAACCACCAAGTTTTGATGCTGAGATTTCGCCAGTGTGTTCCCCGGTCAAGTGCGTCCCCAGGAACGTGACATCAACTACCGCACATGTCTACGTTTCACGTGCGGGTACGTGAAAATTTCGACGGGGAAGTCGCTAAAATGCGCCGGTAATCGACATCCCAAAATGGCGTTAGCAGAAAAACGAAAACGTGTCTCAGGGGCGGCCTAATTGAGCCGAGCCCAGTTCTGATTGCCATAGGAGCACTGTTGATAACCATTTAACTTGCGATTTAGACTATATGGGCAGCTGTACTTTTATCAAGATATCCGTTGCTCGTATGTGAACTCGTTGCGTAAAACTGGCATCTGCGGCTCATGTCTTATGCTTGGATACATCAAGTGTTACTTGCTATGGGTAATCTCCTTGTGAACATTTGGTGGGCTGCTGAATTTTTACGCGATTCCAGCTATTAATTCAGCTAGCAGTTCCTGCACTTCATAACATACTATGCATATGAGCTGTACTTTCCATGATTATGCAAATCTGCATTATAGCGTAATACTGGCACTGCAGCAAAAGCAGTGCTTTCAAGAAGTGGTTGATGCTCCTCGTGGGGCCTTTTTCGTGCGCCAGCAACTTTCTCTTTATCGGGTCACTGCAACCGACATCAATAACTGGCACACGACAGCTGCACAATCAACTTTCTGAGCTTCGAGGACCACTGTGTCACAAATTCTAGCAGCTGGAATTCCAAGCGATCTTACTACAGCACAAAATGCAAAAGCGCATGATCACACCGGTGGACCCGGTGCGCGTCGTTAAAACTACATTCAGAGTTGCAACACCTCGTCAGCAATACGCTAGTAGTGCTGACGTTTGTTTCTGTTCCTCATATTGCGACGAAAAGTGTTGGATGCATCCCGTTCTCGTTGTCGTTCATCAACTTGTAATTTTTTAAAGCAAAACGGAGAAAAATTTTGTTATATTAAACACCACTAACTTTCTGTTAATGTTTCCCACACATGCGTTTTTAGTTAAGAATAAACGAAACTCGTGGGGCGTTCTCCATTTTTCTAGTTTTTGGTTTTTAGCAATTTGTATTTAAACGGTACTTCTTGAGCAGTTAATATGCGCAGCTTTTCACCGTGTTTTATCGCTTTTTGCTTTTGTATGCGGATGTAAGGGGTGCAGTAAAAAAGAAACACTCATTTTTTATGCGTTTTTTGCAGCAATGCAATGCAAAAAACGCATATTGACGAGAGGTTGTCTG